ATATATATATACACACACACACACACACACACACACACACTTATTTATTTATTTATTTTTCCCGGAATTTTCAGAAAAGTCCACTTTCATCTCTGAATACAATACAGCTTTATTTATATGGAGCCTTCACAACCGTTGCAGCTGTAACAAAGTGCTTTATAGAATGTTTAAAATACTACATCCAAGAAATCAAAATATTGATCCATATATAAGGCGCATCGGATTATAAGGCGCACCGTCGGCTTTTGAGAAAATTTAATGCTTTTGGGTGCGTCTTATAGTGTGGAAAATACGGTGTGTTGCTTGTGTTTGTCAAAAAAAAAAAAAAAAAACATGGCAAGGGAATACGCCCCCCCACCCCCAAATTGCCTATTTAATTGCAATATTGAGGAAAAGAAATGACAATTTGATTATTATCTTGCCATGACCATCAGGAGGCGCCTGCAGCTCAATTCCAACCAGGCTTTCTTCCTGCTGGTCAACGGCCACAGCATGGTGTCCGTGTCGGCCGCCATCTCGGAGGTGTACGAGCGGGAGCGGGACCAAGATGGCTTCCTCTACATGGTGTATGCCTCCCAGGAGACCTTCGGTGCCGGCCCGACTCCCCAGTGATCGGCTTTCCTCTCTTCTCTCTTATTCCTCTTGGCCAGCGATTGGACAATTGTAGTTTGTGGTTTGTTTGGTTTTTTTTTTTCTCCTTTCCATGTTCTTTCAAGTAATGATGCTTCTCACCACGTTAGTCGTGACTGTACCAACTAAAACAGGATCCGTAAAATGTAATCATCAGGTATAAGCTCTTGTGTTTTGTGGGTTCTGACTGCAAAGAGAGAAGAACTGGTTTGTGTGCCACACAAGGTGCACCACGGTTAGAGCCCGAGTCTTTTATGGGTCCCCTTTATCTCAATCTGCCTGCTGTCATGGCAACGTAGCATTTATTTCTGTGTTGTAGCTAGATGAATGAATCTCCTGTTTACCTTTCTGTCCATTTCTACTAGCGGTTTTACAAAAAAGTGGTGCGGCTTCACTGCTTTTTTAAAATATATTTATATTTACAGTAGCAAGAGAACAAAGCTAATGTTGATTTGAAGCTTTATGGAGATGAGTGCAAGTTACGTAGAGAATTAACAACAATCATTGAGGCATTGCCTTGAGTAGATGGCCGGAAAGAAGTGGATGTGGCCTCTGGGCCAGATGCAGGCGGGCCTTAAAGCAGCATGAAGGGACGACTCAACTGGTGGCAAAAAGATGCCGGATTGTATACAACTGTACAATTGAAAGGGGAAGCCAGCACAAACATTTTCTCTTCAATAATATGTTCTCAAGCGGCAGCGCTAGTCTAAACACGATAATCAGATGAATGGTGAATTTATGGAATATGAACGGAGCAGCAAAATCCGCTCGCTTTTATCCGTCTCGGGGCTGCCATTTTGCCACTCGCCGTCGACTGAAAACCACATCGCTGTGCTCAGGGCTCAGGTAACAACCAACCGTGGCTCAGCTCGTGACTGTCACATGACCAAACTCAGAAAACAGGTGAGCCCCCATTGGTCGTTAAACCTGAGCAAGTGTGATGTCGTTTTAAGTCAACAGCAAGTGGCAAAATGGCCGCCGTCTGAGGTGGATAAAAATTGGATTTTGATGCTTAACTCAAATTCCACAAATGCAATACTAAGCAGAATCCCGTGTTTCGACAAGTGGGGCCATCGACATTTTTGAAATTAAATTCACGTGCAAGCGTTGTATTCATTTTGTAAATAATGTCAGATTCAGAGGCATATTTACCATCAAGCAAAGGGTTCTTTAGCAGGTGTCTACTTTGTGATTGGCAATCGGTCACTCACAGTAATGACATAGTGAAGCCCCCTGCCCGATGTTGTGTGTCAGCTCCACCCTCGAATCAGAATATAGTCACTTGGGGCTCGACAAGAGGGCTATGTCCACTCTTTATGCTGTCTTTGCTAGGGATAGATGTGTGGTAAGTGCGACCGCCCTCCCCCTTTTGTTTACCTGCCATGCAGTACGGCTTCAAGTATTTCAACATTCATGTAAGATGCGAGAACTGCGTTGAACACAATGTCGAAAGAATATGAGCGGTTCTATTCAGAGCAGTTAACAAGTTGACTTTTGCACACTACAATAAGACTGGTCGAGAAACTTGAGAGATGAGTGCATTTCTTTCTTTCAGTCATTAGTCATTAGTTTTAGCAGGGGAAACGAGAGTGATACAGATTCCTTTGTGGGTATAGCTGCGTCAGTGTGTTGGCTTTGGCCCACAGGGTTGATTTCGCGGCGCTGCTGTTGCGATTCAACACACCGTTGTCAGTTGGAGGCTTCGCCCTGGCCGCCCTGTGGGTTGCACATCCTGTCTGTGCTCATGGACCTTAGTGCTTTTTTTTTTTTATGTTTGTTGAGGTACAACTGCTTTTTATGCCGCAGTATTTTATCATTTTGAATTGTTTAACTCTTTTTTTTGTCGTACAAGTCTTTCTCCTAAATGTTTTCAGTTTGTGCTATTGGACAAGTCGAATCCACTGTGTTTGTTGCAGAGGGGCGAACATCGGCTTGTGTGTCTTCCAGCCCCTCCGTATCTCACACGCATTCACACCGAGCAATAGCCATATATGTGTTTATGTTGGTCTTTTGTTAACAATAAAAGTTTGAGACAGGATTTGAAGTGATGTTTGATTCTTTTTGTCCATAAAGCCAACTGCGATGGCGAGTGGACCATCCCCCAAACTTGTTCTGTTCACCAATTCTTCGCTGCCTCATTTAAATCAACACAGATACAAAATGATTATATTCAGTCTACATCCAACAATATATTTCTTTGTCTCCATACTGGCAGATATTCTCAATTGTAGATTTGACTGCATATACAGTGCACTCCGTAATTACTGGCGATCCTGGGTTAAGATGTGTTAAAAGCCTTAAAATAAATGTCACTTTTTATTGCAGAGGCATACTCATCCTGAAAATTGTTGAAATGGTTCACCAGACACAGAATCAAGCGCCACCCGTGGCCGTCTCAGTCGCAGACCTCAAGCAAATAGAAAGCCGGTGGCGTGAGCTAAATAGGCGAGTGCAGAGGAAAGCACACAAGTTGCTGGATGATTTTTAGAGATTGTGCAAAGAGGAAAAGTTGAAGAGCCACCGTTCTTTACTCTCCCATCTTGTGAAACAAATAGATTAGGTGCTGTTTTGCTGGCAAATAGTATTAACATCAGATGTGCTAATAATTGCAGCTCACCTGATTTGATGTCAAAACGATTTCTTCAGGTGTCATTTTCCCCACAGAATACAAACCCAATTCCACTGAAGTTATGTTGAACACAACAACAAAGACAAGAAGTTTGATGTTCAAACTGATAAACTTTATTGTTAACTAAGAATTTTATGGCAGCAACATGTTCGAAAAAAAGCTGGCCCAGGGTCATGTTTACCACGGTGTTACATCACATGTGCAACTGAGGACACTAATTGTTGAAGCTTTGTATGTGGCACTCTTTCCCATTCTTGCTCAATGTACAGCTTCAGTCATTCAACAGTCCAGGGTCTCCCTTTTTGTATTTTACTCTTTGTAATGTGCCACACATTTTCAATGGGTGACAGGTCTGGACTGCAGACAGGCCGGTCTAATACCTTCACTCATCAACTATGAAGACGCGCTGCTGTAACGTGTGGCTTGGCTGCATCTTGCTGAAATAAGCAGTATATCTTTCTCCCAAACCTATAGGTACCTTTCAGCATTCATGGTGCCTTCACAGTTGTGTAAGTTACCGATGCCATTGGCACTAAAGCAGCCTCTTACCGTCATAGATGTAGGCTTTTGAACTTTGCGCCCGTAAAAATGCGGATGGTTCTTTTCCTCTTTGGCTCGAAAGATGCGATGTCCACAATTTCCCAAAATGATTTGAAATGTGGACTTGTCAGACCATGAGACAGTTTTCCACATTGCGTCAATCTTAGATGAGCTCAGGCCCAGAGAAGCCAGCGGCGTTTCTGGGTGTTCTTGATGAATGGCTTTTACTTAGCAAAGTAGTTTCAAGTTGCACTTCCGGATGTAGCGCCACACTGTATTTACTGATGTTTTTTTGAAGTGTTGCTGAGGCCATGTGGTGATATGCTTTAGTTTAAACACTGGTGTCGGGATTTGATGCAGTGCCGCTTGAGGGATCGAAGGTCACAGGCATTCAATGTTGACTTTCAGCCTTGCTGCTTCGTTATTTCTCCAGATTCCCTGAACCCTTTTTATGATATTATGCACCAAAGATGATGAAATCCCTCTAGTCCTTGCAATGTACGTTGAGGAGCATTGTCCTTAAACTGTAGAACTATTTTCTCGTGCAGTTGTTCATAAAGCGGCGAACCTTGCCCCATCGTTGCTTGTGATTGACTGAGCAATTCAGGTCAGCTTTTTTTCAACCCAGTCAGAGCACCGACCTATTCCCAGTTAGCCTGTCCACCTGGGGAATGTTCCAAACAGGTGCTTCTCACTTTTTTTAAGTTAATGATTACCGTATTTGCTAAAAACAATAAATTCAATATCAATTTGAACATTAAATATCTTGTCTTTCTAGTGTCCATTCAATACAAGTTGAACATTATTTGCAAATCATTGTATTCTATTTTTATTTATGTTTAACACAACGTCCTAACTGCATTGGAATTGGGTTTGTAAATGCATTTGAATTACAGGTGAGATTTCCCCCTTTTTAATAATTTTTATTATTTTTAATTTTGCTCTGATATTATTTAAGACAAAAGGGATGCCAGTAATTATGGAGGGCAGTGTAGATTTATATTCAATGCATTAGGATGCCAATGCTTCTACAAGAAAGCATATTAAATGTAATGTTAATACGTTTACATTTTTTTCCTCAGATTTTTCTTTATTCTCAAATTATTTTGGGCATTAGCTGCTTGAGAGAGTTTTGAGTATTTTCAAAGGAAAATGTGACACAACTCTTGGGCAATTTTTGTAATTATGTTACAATTATTCAAACACTTATTTGCATGTTTTTTTTGCTTGTTTTGTCTTCTAAATGTAAAATAAATCATGTAATGCACATCCCAAAATAGAAAAAAAAAATACTGTACTGCACAAATGGACTTTTCCCAAGAATTAGCCAAAAGTCAATGGAAGGAACACAGAAAGTGAACTTCACCGACAATTGTCAATTTTATTGTTGTTATTGAAATACTGGCATTGAAAAATGCTTCTGACCAGGACGAAGCAGCATGCATGCTGTGAAAGATTTGACCGGATTGTCCTTTGATGCTGGAAAGTGAGACGTTCAGCTGATTTTAAGACAACAACTAAACAAATAAAAAAAGACCTTCAAACGTGAGCATGCATGCTTTCAACAATTTGCAAAACCCCTTTCCCACTCACAATGATCACAACATATTAAAAAAAAAAAAAAACAAAGGTTTTTAAATAAAGATGGCACATACAAGTGCCGCACCCTCCAGGGGTCCAGATAGCGAGTAGGACAAGCCGTCCTCATGTTAATAATTTTCCAGGTCCTGCCCAGACACTTTACAGTCAACTAGGTTTCACTGAATAGGAAACAATCCTGAGCTTTCTCTTGGGTAAATTCCACACAGTTGTGTGGTGTCATTCACCTGCATCAACAATAAAACAATCTTAAAAGCAGACCTGACAAAATTGGCGCTTCTTGGTCTTCCTTGAGCGAAGGACTGAATGGAGAGGAGATACAAACAGGTTTCACGCTATGATAGTAAAAAGGCAACCTCAAAAAAAGAAAAATGTCATTTTCACCTGTCTCGTACAATGCAGTATAAACCGTAATACAGAAAATATGTACATTTTGTTTTGTTCCAGAGACAAGCTGCCCCACACAAGCTTGCAGAAATGTGCCCTGTGCTCCAGACTTGTTCTGTTAAGACCAACACCACACAATTGAATTTTAAAATGTAACTTCCCCTCAAACCCATGTTATCAAATCTATTCATAGTTCTGTATAATAATAAGAAGAAGAACAACAACTTAACGGTCATTTGAACCTCTCAAAAGTTAAAAACTCAAATAAAGACAAGAGGAGAAGCAAACAACTTGAAATGAAAACATGGCAATGCCAAAAGTACAGAAATGATCATTTTTGAAAGATGGCCGAACTTGAGGACCAATAGGGATTTACTTGAGACACTGAGGTGGTCTATAAATATGTATCAGTATCTGTCCTGAAAAGCTCTCTGGCCATACTGATATAAAAAGACCTGAGGGTTTCCTCTTCTGCCGTGCAGGCCCACTTCCAGCTTTTGAGAGGTTTTAATTTCCTGTGACATGCGGACACCGATGATTCTTCACTTGTTCACTGACAACTGCTCTGCTAAGAGCTGCGGCTAAAAGACTAGCTAGCTGGACCAGGGGCGCCCAAGTATGGTCCTCAAGAGCCCCTACCCAAAGATGAGCTGATCATCTGAATCAGGGGTTGGAAGAGCGAGACTTATAAAACAGGCTGGATAGGGGCTCTTGAGTAGCGGGACTTGCGCATTCCTGAGCTTTGCCTTCAGCTTGAGCTGCACAAACGGTGGTCGAGGTGAAGAAGGATGAACAGTGGCCGGAGTAAATATATCTGTGTTTCCTCAGTCCCCAGAGTCCTTATTGTCGGAGTGGGGAGTGTACTTCAGTCGAAAGTTGCCTGTAAAATGACACACAACCTCAAATTAATGACACTCAAAGGCTTGCACCGTCGACTGAAACACACCCATCAAAGTCCTTCTATCCATTTTCCATGTACACTTTGCGAGTGTGAATGGTTTGACTTGTTTACTTGTACTTGAGTGCATTAACTTTTCCCTTTCTCAACACAAGTACTGTGTTTTTGCCCACTCTGCTGTTTTCCAAATGTGTCTGATGGCATCATGCGGTTCCTGCAGTGGCAGTCATTGTTCATTCCTTGACTCACCTTGCTGTGATGACTCCATGGGTGGTTGTTTGCAGCCCTCCGCTCTGTGCCCGTGGCCGCCGCAGTTGTAACAAGAAAGGTTCCCCATGATGCGCTTCTGGATCCCGTTTCCCACAATGCCATGGGGCTGGTAGAAGCTAAAACCTTTTTGCTGGTCCTGTGACCCAGAGCTCTGGCAGTACAGGGGTGGTGGTGCCATCAATGTGTAAGAATAGGGCGTGGTACCGGTACCTGTGGCACTGGACGAGGCCATGAGGGGGCTAAGATGGAGCAGAGAGCCCAGAGTAAAGACAGAGCTGGCCGAGAACGGCTGCAGGTAGGCGGACGCAGGCGCGTATGCGGACAAGGCGCCGTAGGACCCGCAGTTGCCCCGACATCCGCACGAGCTGCAAACGCACATGGAATGGGTGTGGCCTTGACTTGGATCCAATGAAGTGCCAGAGGAGGCGGAGGGGAGGCCCCCACTAGATTGCTGAGGGTAGTACATGTTGCCGGGCACTGCGGCAATAGGGACGGTGCTTGCGGTTGCCATGGAGACAAAGACACTTCCGCCACTGGAGCTAGCGGACTGAGAGAGGGGCTTTGTGGAGGGGCAGAAGGTGGCAAAAGTGTAGAAGGAGGATGCGGGTGGGTATGAGTAGTATATGGATGGTGATGAGGATGAAGAGGAGGAGAGGTGAAAGTGAAGAGGAGGTTGGGACACGTGGTGGAGGCTGTTTGAGGTGGAGGTCAGAGCGCAACTGGTCTCAACCATCAGACCCATCGCAGCCCCCGGAAGACCAAGACAGCCTTCGGAATCATGGAGGGAGGAGGGGGCGTCCGCCTTAAGTTTGAGCCTGGGGAGCAAGGTCTCCAGCCTAATGCCCTTCCCTGCACCCGGACCGGGACTAAAGCCTGCACTAGTACCGGGCGGGCCAGAAGCCACCACTTTAGTCCTGTCCTCTGCGCACAGCGGAGGCGGCCTTGGCTTTCGTGGGGAGGACAGGACACGCGCCTGGTTCGAGAGCGGGCTTTGAGGGTAGCTGCCTTGCGGGTGGTAATGGGAGAGAGTGAAGGGGAGGTGGGAGGAGCAGGACGCGACGGCGGGAGCGGCGATATCCGTTTGGACGGGAAGGACCTGCGCCGTGGGCCGGCTGGGGCCTGCGGGGCAGCTGGAGTTCAGGATAAAAATGCACGAGCGCTCCTTTTCTTGACCACCTCCGACTGTATCTGAACCTGGCACACCTGAAACAGACACACAGACAGCTGTACGAAATGATGACCATAAGCAAAATGTCCCTCCACAACGACGTGTCCATCCTTCCGGTGACCTCGAAGTGAGGCAACTTACGCCTGTAAATATCTCTGCTCCTGTCCAGAGTGGCGTCACAGCAGTGGGGCGTTCGGGGGGAACACGAAGAGCTGGAGTAGCCTGAGGACGAGCTGCTGTCTGTCAGGACGGGATGGTGATGCGGCACACTGTCCACCTCCACATGCAACTCTACTACAACACATTTGGGACTACTATTTTTGCTGACACAATGGATGACTAAAACACTGATCTGCCCACCAGGAGCAGACAGTGAATGAAGGACAAAAATAATTGCTAATCCGAAATGTTCCAGTTACGTGTTCATTTTTCTTTTCTTCTTGACATGTAACCTGCCTTTTCAGGTACAAGCCATATGTTGGACAAAGCCGTTGTGTTACCTGCAGTGGTGGCGTGGGTGGAAGGTCCAACGTGACTGGAAGGCGTCACTCTAGCGATACCACTACTGGTCCGTTTCTCCATCTTCATCTCCCTGCTGGTCAAGGTAAAATACAAATAAATCAGAAAACGAAACAAATTACTTGCAGCTCTCAGATCTTTTCCAAGGCCGAACCATCAAAAATCGAAGCATCAAATTGCAAGCGTACACTTTTCCAACTGCCCAACACATATAGGGTTCCTTCGACCTTTCTTTCAACATGAACAAAAAGCAGAAAATGACTAGTCTAGTTCCCACTCTTAAACAAACAACTTCATTTGTGGCGAAAATGGCCTGCAAGTAGGCATGAGGCCAATAACAATGTTCCATGGTTTCAAAAAGTCAAGGTTTCAATCACCGCTAATACTGACTGTGACCGGGAATGCGCTCGGCTTTTCTTCTTTGAAATGACTTATCAGCAGTGCACAATAGGATTTTAGAGCTGTCATTTGAATTCTGTGAATTTGTCAGACCGCAATATTTTTTGCTCACGGTGATACGATCAGAATGTACTATCAGCTCATGCCTAGCTGCGAGTACCCAAAAACTACCACTAGAGGGAGCCATCAATGCACACAGCAAGCTGGGCTGCTCCATCTGCAGATCTGCTGTATGGAAAAGCACTGCAGGAACTTTCCATTTTGTTTGCCTTGTGTTTACACACACACACACACACACACACACACACACACACACACACACACACACACACAAACACACACACACACATACATATACACACACACAAATGCCAACCAAATGGAAACAGTTTAAATGGAAATTATGATCAGATGATAAGTGCAGGGCTCTTCGTGCTTCCTTGTCCGTACTTCAATGTATGTATGGCCATGCTTGTCTGAATGGTAAGTTATGCACAGAGACACGTTTTGTTGCCATGTGTCATTGTTCTCGCATTTCTGTTCTTTGATTATCTCGTACAAGTAAACCTTATCTCTGGAGCCTTCTCACAGTTAGTAAACCATGACGTGTTGTACGGTCTGTTTTTGCCATCCGCTGCTGAGCTCGTAGAAGCCGAGCAGTCGGTGACTTGCTAATAGGCAAAATAAATCAAGGTGCTCTGATGCAGGTTGATTCCACATCACCACTTGTTCCAGTGTGCTCGGAGCTCAACAGGTCGCTTCGGCTGGGTGTTTGGCATATAATACAATAAAGCAGTGGCTCTCAACATTGTTAGAGGTACTGAACCCAACCAGTTCACATGCACATTCACCAAAACTTTCATTCTTTCATTCTTTGTCCGATCCGCTTATCCTCACAAAGGTCGCGGGGGCTGCTGGAGCCTATCCCAGCTGTCTTTGGGCAGTAGGCGGGGGACACCCTGAACCGGTTGCCAGCCAATTGCAGGGCACACAGAGATAAACAACCATCCATGCTCACACTCACACCTAGGGACAATTTAGAGTGTTCAATCAGCCAGCTGTGCATGTTTTTGGAATGTGGGAAGAAACCGGAGTACCCGGAGAAAACCCACGCAGGCCCGGGGAGAACATGCAAACTCCACACAGGGAGGCCGGAGCTTGAATTAAACCCGGTACCTCTGCACTGTGAGGTGGACGCGCTAACCACTAGACCACCGGGACGCCCCCAAAACCTTCATTTGTGAAAAATAAAAATATGATTTTTTTTTTTTTTACGCATTCAAGACATAAAAAGACGCCTTTATTAAAACCAGAAAAAAAAACCCTAAATCAAATTTCAAGACATAAGTATAAGTTTTTAACATTGTGCACAAAATGAACCAGCCAGTGATGGCCAAGCGGGCATGTCATAACTAATTGACATGTTGAGTCACGTGTGTCTTAACCTCCATGGCAGAGGCTCCGTCGAGCCCCTGAGACCGATTCACCGAACCCCGAGGGTTCAATCGAACCCAGGTTAAGAACCACTCCTATAAAGCATTAGTATAGAGTACCTTGTTTGCATGCAAACAGAAACAATGTAATAATTGTTAAAAAAATGAATAAAAAAATAAAAAATAGTGATTTGCTCAATGGATGCGTGAGCAGGTAACAATCAAGGCTCCTCAAGCTGAAAGGGAGGCAAACTTTGAATCAGCAGAACAAAAACATATTTTAAAAAATGTAATGTAATATCTATATCCCATGTAATGTGCATACTGCTTCACCTAAGGTCTCAAGTGAGTACCCCGTGTTCTACTCAAGCGTTCTACTCAAGCAAGGTATGCCTTGCTAGTAATGGAAGTTCATTACTTGACATTGTTTGGAACAGACCAGACCAGACCGATAGACCAAGTCAGCTGCAGTGCCACGACAGGAAAGAAACCCCCAAAGAAAACTGGTTGAATGACAACTGCAACTTACTCTGCTGACTTCTGTAACTCCAGCTGAGTCTTGAGTTTCTTCTTTGCTCCCTGGGTTAAGTCGTACTTGTTTAAGTCATCTTCTGTCAGTGCTAAAAACTGTATTGAAAAGAGAAACCTCCAATCACTCACATATACTCCTTATTTCATAAGCCCGTATCTCACTGTGTGGCGAGGGCTTGCGGATGCACACGGCCCAAATGTAGATTTTTCATCATCAAGGTCGCAAAGGTACGCCGCATGTTCACCAGCAGTTAGAATGATTGCAAACAGTTTTTCTTGTCACAAAGAAATTTTGAACACGTTCAAACAAACGACTTTGCGACCGTTTGCAACCGCGAACGAACCCCGATGAACCATCAATATTCGCCACCTTCGCCGTCCAGCGGGATACGGGCTTCAGTAAATGCAAGTTGCGTTGGAGACTGCACCCACCTCTTCCATTGTCAGTTGTTTGAACACCGGGTAATATTTATGTAGGCGAAGCTTGCGCAGCCAGTCCAAGATGCCGTTCTGCTCTGGCGTGTTCGCCTGGGACTGTGGTGAAGGCTGCGCGTGCGGCTGGGAACGGGACTGCGAGAGCGAGTACGAAAGAGACTGAGAATGGGGCGAATGTTGAGGTTGGGTCTGTAACTGTAGTGGGTGAAATGAGAACTGCTGAGGTTCAGAATACGTGTGCGGATGAAGTAAAGGACACGGTTTGCTTTGGGGGTGCGGCTGGGAGGAAGCATCGCCTCTGCCAGCATGGAAGCCGGGTGTGGGCAAAGCTGGCATCGTGGGAGGGAGGGAGGACAGTTGGGGGGAGTGTTGCGGAGAAGGATGTGAGGGAGGGAGAGACGAGAGGTGAGGGGAGGAGCAGGTCAGGGCAGAATTGTGGGTGCTGACAACAGGCTGGACGCTGGCCACTCGGTACATCGCCCTGAAAGAGGAAACGCCGTCAGAGGGCAGAAACGCTGCACATCGCGCTGATGAGCGATGACGAAATCTTACCTGCTGGCTCCTCGGTACTGCATCATACAGCCGGCTGAGCTTGCTGAGTGACAGATGACAATGGAAATATGAACACGCTGTAGTTTATCGCCCATGCAAACAAAGAAATTACATTCCGATTATTCTTTGATTTTATATTGTATTTGGCTGACTGAGAGGATGTCATGTAATACACGGAGACATTCGGGCGATGTTGAGCACGGAAATTGAGAAATGAACATGAGGTATACAAAACGGACGGATGGATGGATACTCCTGTGAAGGGGAGTGTGTTAATTGTGTTCCCCACCCCCTCCCCGATCTGCTCGAAAAACGGTCAAGGCCCACGATCGTAAATCTTCAACCTGAGCAAAAGTTGCAATCGCCAACTCGTTTGTGTGCGGACAACGCCGAGTTTAGGCAGAACCACGGACTCTGCGACTGTGACATGAAACAGGAAGACAGCCAAATAGGAAGCGACCTGAAGCTCACGCTGCTGCCCGACACAAATAGAGGAACAATTGGTGGTGTCGAATGTTTGTGTAACGTAGCTCAAAAGTCGTTTACCAACAATAGAAAGGACAAGGAGTTGTGTTTTTAGTTCTGGTCGCAGTTACCAGATAAGGTTCTTCTACTTCTTACTGAGAGTATTACCTCAAAAACACTTGGCTGTCAAAGTACCGGCATAACAACGCACATTAAAAGACGGTAGCTTCATGTTTGTTGTGTGGGGGGAACTTTGAAAAACTGAATGGCACAAGCTCTTAGTTGCTGAACGGTTGGAGTGAAGCGGTGCATACTCGGCGCTATCGCCCACAATTATGAAACTGGGATTTTGGGGGCAAGCTCCACTGTTCTTGGTCTCGGTTCTTGTCAAATAAATTTCCCCCTGACGCTATGCAGCCAATCACGGCATTGACAGTACTTGCGCATGTTCTCTGCTCCATAACAATAACAGTGTGGTGGCGATAAGTGACGCTAATGCTCATCCTTTATCATGGCGAAACGATCGGGCAGTGAACGTGATACGTCGACTCCCCAAACCAAAATAAGAATAAATAGCGGTTCTTTTAAGTTGGAATGGCTGTCGGAGTATGTGCAAATAGAAGAACAAGCAGTCAAACTGGGTGAGATATTTTCTTTTTCGAGTGAGAAAGGTCTGCTCTGCAAAACATGCAGCAAAGCTTAAGCTGTAAGCAAATTTTCCGATGGAAAAATACGAACTAAATGGAAGCTGGACAACCTCAAGCGACACATTCAGCAGAAAAGTTATTTGAATGATGTTGGAATTATACAAAGACTCAAGATGGGAAAAGGGATTGGTACAATATTGCGGGAGAGCGCAAACGACCGGGAGAAAAAGAACCGGCTGGCACAGAAAAAAATCCGATCCTGAGCAAGTTAAAGTTCCAATTGACTATATTTTACTTGCTATTAAAACAAATGCACCAAATGTTGGATTGATGTTGATTTGATTCCTATTCCCAACGTGTTATAATACAGCGTTAATTTTCAATGTTTAAAAACAACGCTTACAGAAACAATAGAACACGTTAATTATTAAAATCAGCATTTTTCACATGTTCAGGTAGTGGTGTGCCGTGGGATTTTTTTCAATGAAAGAAATGTGCCTTGGCTCGAAAAAGACTGAAAAACACTGAGCTAGACTCTCCACCTTGGATCGGATATCATCGAGTTTCGCGGTCTTCCTCTGACAGAACAAAAGATCTGCCGAAAATTGGAACTGAAAATACTACGCAGGCTAGGGAAGGACAATACACTGTGAAAATACACGTCGATTACTGGCAGTGACACTCCACTCTCTGTACTTTAACTCTCTCTCTCTCTCTCTCTCTCTCTCTCTCTCTCTATGTCTCTCTCTCTCTAACTCACTCTCACACACTCACACTCTCGCTCACTCTCTCTCAGTCACACACACACACACACACACACACACACACACACACACACACACACACACACACACACACACACAGCACTGGAGGTTAAAAATACACTGAAATGAAGTCACATTCATAGAATCAGGCGCAAGCACTCACTCACACACACACACACACACACACACACACACACACACACACACACACGAGGTCACCACACTCAGCTTCCCAACACAAACATACCACAATAAATTCCCACACCAGACTAAAATAGAAGCTGTCCTCTCCCTCTAACACCTTCAAAATACAAACCAAAAATTCTCCCTGCTGTATCACCACCACCTCCTCAATGGTATTAACGGACGTGACCTTTTCCTTTTCATCCTGCACTCATCTCAGTCATCACCAACACTGCATAAACCTTCATTCATTCATTCATTCATTCCCCAAACCACTTGACACTAGTTTCGCGGATGTACTGGAGCCTATTCAAGACGTTTTAGGACGAGCGGCAGGGTTCACCCTGAACTTGGTCACCAGCCAATCGCAGACTGCATAAACAGACACACTGTCGCTACATCTAAAAATAGATGCCACATGTTTTGCATCCTTTCCAGAGACTTACGTGTCTGTGATTGTGGCTAAATGGGAATCGGTCCCATTAAGAAAGAAAATACTCACAATAGTTGGAAGTGAATGGGCAGGTTGGAATGACAGGAGCCGTGAGAGGTGACGAAGGCATTTTGTGGAGGGAGGAAGAGAGAGGAGGCAGATAGCTGGGTGTGAGAGGCCTGCTGGAGGTGAAGAAGAGTTGGACGCTGCGGTGCTGGAGCACATGGCTGGGCAACGCTGTCAGGCATCTGGGTGCAGGTGGAGAGAGGAGACAGTCACATGAAGAACACGTACATAGACACAATACAAGGGCAAATATTCACTTGTATAGATACCGAATCGACATAGGTTACAGGTGGGAGACTGGTTAGGTTGTGGGTTTGCATTTTGCCACGTCTTTTGATGGAGACTTTATATGTTCTCTCTGCTCTTGTGCGGGTTCCCTCCAGGTACATCGACTTCCTCGCACTGTCCAAAACTAAACTGCGTTGGGCTAACTGGGAAGTGACTCTACATTTGAAAATTTGAAATGTGAACGTGAGGGTAAATAGTTGTCCATACCCAGGCAGGATTTTGTTGAACAGTTTGAATTTTGGCCGCATAGCTTGTGAAACACTTTTCTTTAAAATGACTCCTCCTTTTAGAGTTCATTGAACATTTTTGGTCCCAATGACTCCCATCATAAAACCATTTTTCAACATACGCTAATCTTGATAACTGAATGAATCTATTCAACCATCCGTCCATCCGTGAACTACAGACAGACAGAGTCAAAAGTAGATCTTGGGTCAAAAAAACGTCGGATACCCCTCCCCTGGAGAGCTACCTTCTGTAGCTGGGTATCAGACCTCCAAGGTCTTTTGCCGCTACCCTGCTCAAATGGCACCTGACCTTAACCAACCAATTTCATCAAATCAAATCTATGTTGCAGAGATTAATTGATTTATTGATAAAAAATAGGTTGCTTCATCAAAAGTGTTGATTTTCCCATTAAATATTTATGTAAATGGATTGTCTGCATTTTGGATATACCATTAATACAGACACACACGCACGCACGCACGCACGCACGCACGCACGCACGCACGCACACACAAGTAAATAAATAAATAAATAAAAGGATGTATGGGTTTTTCACAGGACGGCGATATGTTTCTCAAAAACCTTTAAGTACCTTTCAGCTTTGATGGTGCCTTCACAGATGTGTAAGTTACCCATGCCATTGGCAGTAGCACAGCCCCATCCCAGCTGTTTTTTTAACTTTGCGTCCATAACCTTCCAGAGGGGTCTTTTTCCTCTTTGGCCCGGAGGACACGGTGTCCACAGTTTCCCAAAAAGATTTGAAATGTGGACTCGTCAGACCACAGAACACTCTTCCACTTTGCAGCCGTCCATCTTAGATGAGCTTGGGCCTAGGGAAACCGGCAGTATTTCTGGGTTCTTTTGATAAATGGCTTTTGCTTTGCATTGCTGTACTTACTGACATTAGTTTTCTGAAATTTGTTTGTTGGTTTTTGGCTTTGCAGCTTACATACAATGATTTCTCGAGATTCTCTGAATCTTTTGATGATATTATGGACCGTAGATGATGAAATCCCAAAATTCCATGCAATTGTACGTTGAGGAACATGTTCTCACTCAAAACCTCGCCCCATCTTTGCTTGTGAATAACTGAGCAATTCAAGCAAGTGCCTTTTCTACCCAAAGTGACTTCTTTTTAAACAGATACTTGAGTCTTTCTGACTCTGACATTGCAAATATCGGGCCACATCGGACAGTTGACAGAATAATTGCCTCCTCAAATCCTGATATGAGGGTAGAGGACAATAAACCCAAAAAAGAAACATGCCTTTCATTTTCAATATCATTTAAGTGATAAACAAGACTGCTGCTCCTCTAGGATGGAGTGGAAGCATGCTGTTTCCAAAGCCAGGGGCAGAGTACCAGACCTCAACTTGGCACACACTGATCTCTGAGCTCGAGTCAGGTTCAGTGTGACATATGGTTGAGGACCAAAATGATCCTTTAAGAAAATATAACTTCTTAACTTTGCTTGACCAATGGAGATATATTCGTTTTTAAACAGACATACGGGATAAGTAGATCCGCTTTTCAGTTTAGGTTTTGCATGATGTTATTTTGATAGTGTGGTTGTGTCAGCCCTGTGAGTGACTGAAGAAGCCGTATGAAGAACAGATGTGCAAAATGGTTATTATTACTTTTGTCTTGTCAACTCACGAGTGGCTGCTATTGTGCAATACCGTAAGTGCAAAAGTGGGTTTTGCCTTTTGTCTGGCTCATTCCTCACAGTTGGTCACCAAATGTTGATGGCAGCAGTGTTGACGTGCAAACCCTTAAAGGTCAGACACTCAACAATTGCAATAAAAAAAAAAATTAAAAAAGTACAAAAGGTTTACTGCAAGTTAAAAACAAATTAAACTTAATGACTTAATGACTAACTGTGAGGTGAAACTGTGGGCGACTGGTTAGCATGCCCGCTTCACAGTACATAGGTCGTGGGTTTGAATCCGGCCCCTGTCTTCCTGTGTGGAGTTTGCATGTTTTCCCCGTGCCTATGTGGGTTTTCTTCAGGTACTCCGGTTTCCTCCCACATCTCCAAAACATGCCCGGAAGGTTAATGGAACACTCTAAATTGTCCGTAGGCGTGATTGTGAGCGCGAATGGTTGTTTGTCTCTGTGTGCCCTGCGATTGGCTGAAAAACAGTCCAGGGTGTACCACGCCTACTGCCCGAAGACAGCGGCCCTTATGGTGATAAAGCCATTCAGAAAATGGATGGATGGATGGACAGTGACATTTGTTCAGGACAGTCGTGACTCTCGGTGCTAGCGGCCCCTTATTAGCTCATCAAGAATGGTTGAGAAAATTACAACAGACAAATATGTACCGAGTATTTCAGAAATGTCTTCAATTTGGTTTGGAAGATGTCACCCATCAAGGCTAGATATTGAGTTTCACAGTGTTATTCCTGATTAGATTTACCTTAAACACATTATTCCATTTCTCTTATGTTGTTAAAGTAGGATATTCCAAGGTATGAAATGCATCTACTTTTTTTTTTGAATCAGAAATCCATAATTCAATGTCCAATCTACAAGTTAGCTATCATCCTCCATAGGACAGAAAAAAATTCATGAAACTAACCTGGCATCTGACTCACTACATTGAGGCAAGATCTTCTCCATTCGCTCATCGGGGAATGCCTGTGACAACTGAGAGAAAATTAATATAAGAAAAAAAAAGTATGGCAGCATAACATTGCTGATATGTTATTGTCATCCATCCATACTTTATATCCATTTGAAAAGACTGTCACAACAATGAAGCAACAAGTTGAGTTGTGAAACATTAGCAAGGGTGGTCCTCACCTGTGAAAGTAGCTCGCTCACCTCCTGTTGACTTCGGACCACTGATGAAACAAATCCATCAGTCCAGATGGCCTGAATTAGGAATAACAAGAACCATTTGTATTAGGTGTCATTTTTAAACAAAGTTTGGGCACAAGTTTAACTTGTGTGTTTGGGCACAAGTTCAACTTGTGTGTTTTTACCCACCTCAAACATATAATCGCTTTTGTCTTCAAACTTATGCGTCGCTCCTCGCAATGCAACTCTCTCAATTGCCACTATAAAAACAGTTAACACACAAAATGTCATCAAGCTTGACCCGACACTTGGAGTGCTTTGAAAGCAAGAAAACATGTTACAACATTCTGTTCATTTCGCACCAATCTCACATGATAGAAATGTCATCCGAAAAGGTTGCACATTTTCTTGCCTGTTCCTCTTCAGCCCTACAGACATACTATATATTTTTTTTTCATCATGAATAAAATAGTTCCCAGGTGTCTCAACAACATATCTGTGGCTTGCACTAAGCATCACGAGCTAACAGAGGTAAACGAGCTCCCTCGCTACCTGCCACATGAGTAGAAGTACTTGTGACGAAACCAAAGTGGCAGTTTTTTTACTTTTGGGACCTGGATTCAACACCCCTGAGCACTGTTGACATGTTTATATCAGTAGATGTTCAATGTGGGCTGGATCTCGCCAGCATGTTCCAGTGGATTTTGGCCAGCCTTCCTCTTGTGCCTTGCTTAGCGGTGAGTGTTCGCGGCAGTGGGCTGTCTGCTTCTACTGGCAGAAGCAAACCCCGGAATGTGCAAAAAAAAAAGTGAGGGCTCACTTCGCTTAAATTCAATAACAGCATTTGACCGCACAGCTGTAGTACTTCAACTTTTCTATGTGACAGATGGACACATTGGCAAATACAAACACCTCCCTGGCCCCTGCATTTCTTTACAAAGCTAGACTAATGTAACCGTTTCACTCGACACACACACACACACACACACACACACACACACACACACACACACACACACACACGCTCACACACACACACACACACGCACGCACGCACGCACGCACGCACGCACGCAAACACGCACGGATGCAAGTTTAAAAGCGAATATTTACAGAGATTATGCGGGATTGTCAATGGTGGAGGCAGTATTTCATTACCAAGATGTCAAATTATGCTTCCTCAGAAAGCGTGTCGCGCAAGACACTGGCAAATGACAATTTAGCCAAACATTACTCTCAGAAGTTTATGCAGGTAAAACTGTTAGCTGATGCTAATCTATGTTAACACTTTCTGTCTTTAGTGCTTTCTCTGCCATATCAAAGAAGTGGTTCTTTTGGTTCTCTCTGCCAGCCTCACTGTCAAGTCACTGACTGAGAATTTCTGTGTGGGAATGGTTATCATGAGAACTTATTCACAGTTTTTGTTTTGAACCAGTGGAGTGGAAGTGCAGAACGCCTCGCTCACAGACAGTTTAATTTCACACCTAGTTAAAGCATTGACAGGCATTTCACACACCCAACTATTGGTATCCGAACATTTTAAAGGCAATAGTCCATATTATATCCCGTGTAAGGTTAAGGTTGTCTTGTCCAGGGAAACCAAGACAACGAAAGTATTTATAAAAAAATGATGAGATTTATTTAAGAAAAAACATGGAGGGACACCGTTCACAGATCTGTCAAGGGAGCCTTCTCCCTCTCTGCGTCTTATGCTCTCATTTTATCTTGTTGGTAGGTGGTGAAGGCCAGCGCAATCAGCATTTTGAGCAGCTACACAGAGTACAGACTAGTGCAACTTTGCTTATCCGCAAAATATCTGGTCAGCATTCAAAGATATGGTCAGCATTCAATTGTACGAACAGTTACTTCCATTTAGCGCTGTTATATGTCAAATTCCCATTACAAGGTATCATTGAGAAACTTAACAAACCCCACTTCTCAAAGTGCCACCTTTGTTCATGATAGCATGCGCCATTCATTTTTGTGCGCATGCAGAAAATAGGGCACTGTACAAGGCTTGTAACGACCAAGAAAGTAGAGGGCATTCTTTAAAATCAGCCCTGATACATTTTAACCATGATTTGACTTGATCAATGTGATGCCTGTATAATCTGTAAAAGACACAATACCGTATTGGCCCGATTATAAGACGGTGTTTTTTGCATTGAAATAAGACTGAAAAAGTGGGGGTCGTCTTATATTCGGGGTCTAGACATTATATCCATTCACAACGCTAGATGGCTCCATATACCATTGAAGCGAATGCTGAACTTGACTCCCCAGGCCAAAGCGAACCCCTGTCACGAAGAATAAAAATAAAAATAGCGGTAGCACAAAGAAGAAAAATAAAAAATAGCGGTAAGAAAGAAAAGAGAAGAAAATAATAGAAGAAATAACAGAAAATGGAGAAACGTAGCGACAATCTGGAGAAAAGTGGGTCGAAGATCGGCAGCTGAGGAGAAGTTCTGGTGTAATTTACATTTCAAAAACCAGAAACCATTCATTTATGAATGTGATTGTACTTTAGTTTACATATTTAAATCTTCAGATATTAAGATTTGAATGAGGCAAAATAATATGCTTTTTCTCTCAAATATATTGTTAGAACCATTTGTTTCAGAAATAAAAAATTAATTTGGTGTTCAAAAAGTCTTTTTTTCAAACTTGAGTCTTGAAAAAGAGGGGGTCGTCTTATAATCAGGGCCGTCTTATATTCGGGCCAATACGGTACTCGACGATCTCACATTACCTCATACCTCATGCATTGCTGTCATCAACATAAAACAGACAACAAGAACACAGACACTCAAAACAGTCGTTTTGAGCACATTGAAACATGATTGCCCAGATTTAGAGGCAGATGATATGATACAGATTTGTAAAATGAAGGTTATATACCAAACCCTACCATTTCTATGTATGAGTCGGGGCTTATCTAGTAAAGAAATTGTTACTTTGATGAGTACAAATAACTTTCACTCTTCCATCAGTCTGCTTCTTTGTTTGGATGCATGCCTCAGGTGGAGAGGCAGGTTTGGGCTATTTCACATTGTTCCATGCCAATACATAGGGGATGAAACTGGCAGGGTTGTTTTCATAGATGGGTGTGATAGCAAAATAAGCTCTACATATGAAAGGACTCACATTAGACTGCATAAAGCAGTGTGAAACCATATCAGACATGCAAGGACAAGCAGCTGCATTGAGAAATGAGGTCATGAACAGAAAACACCGAAATCTGCTAACGACAGAGATGTGCAAGACTAAGGGTGTACCTACACTGTTTAGTCTGCTTTCAACAGAGCTCGGTTCATTTCTCACGCTTCCAAACAGACTTGGCACAATTCGCAACAGGTCTGAATACAAACCACTGCAGATCCACACAAAACATAGGATACTAGCGAAACAAACCACCATAGCTTGGTATCGTGAGAAATATTATCCCATAGTGAATGCTGATCATAACTGATCCTTTGTCTTTTACAGTATTTAGACGCGCCACTGCCAGCATTTGGTGGGTCAAAACTCAGGGAGCACATGCTGGGTTTCTGCATACATTCGCCGACCTGTTCCAAAATTTATTAAAATAGTGTCGCAAAACCTGCATTGAATGAGCTGCTCTTGACACAATTATTTTGCAGCTCTAATAAGAGCACAAATGCTCAATTTCCAGGTTTGTGCTTTCGGTGCCGCCCTCGTCACTTCACTCCAATGGACATACCGATCGGCACATGCGTAGATGTGTTTGCAGAATATAGTTCACTTCCAAAACGTATACGGTGTGAATATAAACCGCAGCAAAGAAACAAACAAAATAATTAAGTCCGTAAACTACACGACCTTTTTTCATTCACGCCGGTCACGTTATCAGACTCGCAGATAAATATCATTCTGTGTCTTGGGCTGGGCAAGATGTCACACTACAAGTCCATCACCGTCAAGATGCTGACAAATCATTGTGTGCAGTCCATCAGTGCAGGTCATTCGGGGAAGCGGGACAAGCAGCTGTCAAAACCATGCCAAACGAGGCATTATGTGCATGTGCGTTTGTTTTCGGCTCAGAAAAGGCAAAAAAAAAAAAAAGGGACTATGTTCCCGTTCCTGGATGGTGGTGAGAGGACGGTATGGACTGTCGATTCTCCAAATAGAAGTTGAGGTAACCAATTTGTGTATTGACACCACATGTGCTAATCAGCTATTAGCTTTGCATTGAGCAACAGTAGCACAAGTTGAAAGGCTTTTCAATATTTCCCCTTGTGTTCACGTCACTTTTTAAATACAATACCTGTACACCACATTGTGATTGTGTGCGCCATGCCCACTCTCTCGTCATAAGTAGGAGGGCACTGCCTTCCTATTGCTCAGCAATGTAGGCCATGTCACACTATGCGGCAAGACGAACAAAAATTCTGGCATGCCAGACTTTCGTCGCTGTTGTGAAGCATCCCAAACACTTCACGACTAATCATTATGTCAGTCACACTACATGGGTTACGACGCCTGAAAACACTTCAAAATCATCTACGAGACACTACGTTTGCGACACGTCTGTCGGCTCAATCTAGGGCTACGTTCGTGTCGTGTAACGTCAGGATAAGTGTGCATAAAGAGCAAAAGGACAGGCCCTTAATGCACAGCTTCCAGTGGGTTTGATGGGTCGAAAATGTGAAGGACAAACACACTGCCTGTTATTCATAGGAATCTTGGCCGATATGGACATATACACACTGACCAGCTCATGTCATGATGTATGTCGGTAGTGTATGGGTAAATAAATACAGTACAGTACAGTACAGTTTGCTGCATGCAACTAAATTTGCCAAAACAGTTGGTACAATCTTATATTTCCAAGAATGAGATGCCATTAAGATGTTTTCCGAATCCTGTGCTTGAAATAATTTGTCTTGTGTATGTTGAAAAAACACACAGTAAAGACATTGCAGCTTACGCTGCTTAGCATGGCACACAAGCCCCCCGGTACTCATACATAGAAATGGTAGGGTTTGGCATCTAACCTTCATTTTACATACCTGTATCATATCATGTGCCTCTCAATCTCTGCAATCATGTTTCAATGTGCTCAAAACGAATGTCGAGTGCCTGTGTTCCTGTTGTCCGTTTTATGCCGATGACAGCTATGCAATGCGACCATGAGGTAATGTGAGATCGTCGAGTATTGTGTTTCACACAGGGGCAGGGAGCCAGAAAGATTGGGTCTACTGTAGATGGGCAATTGGCAGCCTGTGCCCACATGCTGGGTGGCCCCTCCAAAAAAAAAAAAAAACAACAACCCAAAAAAAAACACATCAACTTGACTTAACTCAATCCAAAATGAGGGGTGAGGGGATAGAGAGAAATAGAAATCTTTCTTCTACTACTTTGGACCCTCGCATATAGCCGTAATATCAACAATTTGCAGATGTGTTTGTTTTTTTTTTTCATTTATTAATAACACTAATGTAAAATTGTGGCCCCCTACAGCAGGGGTCCCCAACCGCCGGTCCGTGGACCGGTACCGGTCCGCCGGGCATTTGGTACCGGGCCGCACAGAAAGAACTTGCCTTAATTCCGTTTTATTTATTTCGGAATACGAAAGATGTTTTATTTTGAAAAACTACCGGATTCTCCGTTACATCCGTCTGTGTCACGCTTGACACACATCAAGCCACGCTTCTCCGTCACCTGAACTGTTGCTATTTCCGACATCCTACCTGTGTGAGGCGGGGGATTTCTGCAGCAACGGCGACGAAAACAAAATTACGAAGTAGACTGGACATAAACCACACACTTGAGGTGTCATTGTCTCCTATTACCGCGAGATAGGACCGTCTGATTGCAGAAAATCAAGCTCGGTGCTGTGGTGAGTCGTCATTTTCATGCACTTTGAATTTGCGTTGTATTGTATTTTGAAGGCATTAAACATTGCCATAGCGATCGGAGTGTTGCGGCCAGATTAGACGCTCCTTGTGTTTATTATTATATTTCGAAAACACCACAGTTTTCATGCAGCTCATACCGTATTATTTTGTTGTATTATTTCCACCACACCTTAAATGCCGGTCCCTGAAAATACTGTCTGACATAAACCGGTCCGTGGGGCAAAAAAGGTTGGGGGCCCCTGCCCTACAGCATTTAAGTCAGCGATGGGCAACTTAAAGGCCACAATTTTACATCAGTGCTACTTGGGGGCCACTTAGGACCACATGTTTCCTCACCAGTCACATGACAAAAAGGCCATTTTAAATACATACATAGGTTCAACATATTTCATTTTTAGAATACATTTCTAGTCCAACAGCAAAGGGTTTGAAGCAAACAACAATATTAGCACATAGTTTTTATTTATTTTTAATGATAAGTGTTGTCTTGCCTGAAAATGACCATTCAAGGACGGCACAAAACTGCCGAACAGCAAAACAACTCATTTTGTGATTTTGTTTTTGTTTTTTTCCCAACAAAAATCAAGTCAGTCAAAATGTTAGTATTATTGATATTATGTTTGTCCTCCATATCATTCCAAATACGTAAACAAATGATCAGGCTTACTCAAGTTGCAGTATAGGGGCCGTAAATACGCAGCGTAAGTGCAACTACGTCAATTCTGTCATCTAGTGGTGAATGGTGGTATTACATTTTAAGACTACAGACAACGACTGCATACTCGCAGCTTGGATTTGCATGTTCTGTTCTTTTTTTTCAGGATTTTTAAAATTTTGAAGACAAGTCTTTCCTGGGATTTTCTTTCCGCAAACCAGCCACCCCTCCCCCAACCAATACCTCACAATATTTTTTCGTGTGATACATGTAATGAATGTTAACAGTGATTTTTCAAGAAAAAAGTCTTTAAATGATGCGATTATTAAATAGCTCCCGCTTTTTTCTCATCCGATCAAAGGACATTCTCCTCGAAGCTTTGTGGTTTGTCACAAAGCATTTTGGCAAATTCCATTCTTGTCAGTGCAAGTTTTCTTAGTGACCATTTTGCTTCATGGAATGGTACCAACAATTTTGCCAACATGTATCAATACAGTACAAAGTAGCCAAACTTTTTCTACTGAGACAGCTTTAGCAGGCCAAATCATTGCTGAGTGTTGTCATTTTCATGATCGACGCGCACAAAAAAAAAAATATATACCCTCGTACAATACAATACAGTCAGTGAATAAAGTTGTATTGTGGACCACCTGAAGTTGCAACCATGAGTGAAATGAATCCCTGAGTGACATATTACACTGCAATGCCTGAGGCTGCATTCTCGAAGCTCAGTTATGTTCTGTGGGACTGGCATGTTGCATCTTGCCCCAACGGGGTTTTACTGGGTGCACAGCATGAGATACACGTTTCAGACTCACATGCACTGGTTGGAGGTTCAGTCGTTCATCATTAGTTCAAGCTGACGATGACAGTGAAAGGCTATTTATAGAATATGATAGAGCATGCAAAGAGGTGGCAGGGCGTCAATCACATCAAACTATGGACCTTGGTAAGATACGACACTGTTCCAGAGGCTCACCTGTTCCTCTTTTCCCCTGGTGACTAGTAGGTGGTGCCGCAGCATCGTGGCCCTGCACAGCAGTTGGAGGAGGAGCAAGGTGAGGAGGAGGTGCGAGGTCGAGGTGTGGAGCATTGGCTTCCTGGCTGGCCGCTTGAGCTCCTCTCCCAATTTTTACCTCTGATCCAAGTGCAGGGGCTGTACTAGCCTCTCTGGTTTGGTTCTAGAGAGCATTGAAAAAGAGAGACGTTTGGACTGCAGTAGACCAATTGATAACACAAGTTAGCTCAAATTAGCCGTAACGTTTGCAATTTTATCCTGGGCTCCTCTTTTATCCGCATATGCTATACAGCAATTATTACAAAACAAACAACCAAACAAGAATTTGTGATCTATGATGGGCAACAGCAAATACTGTGGCATATTGCCGTGACAAGAACCTTCAACTAAGCATGAAAAAAGGAAACTCCATTATGAAAATCCTGTTTTGTTGAGATGTTTTGTTTGTCATGGATTCATGTTCAAACCGTACAAAACTACTACCATGTGTTGTGTGTGGTTCATATTGAGCAAAAACCTGCGTGAAACGTGCTATTGGGACAGTCCCCGCACACATCACATGGGTTGGGCTTTCTCTCTTACTTCTTATACCACAAACACCGGAAAACACATGTTTGTTATTATAGACACAGACAACACACTGAAACGCGTAGTTTCGTGAGGTTTTGCTTTAAGGTGAATAAATTGTGTCTTCGATACATTGAGGCAGCCTCTGTCCCCGTTTTAACCCCATCCTATGTGTTGATTGATTCTTAGCTTGTGCTGCGAAAGATTCCTTCAGCTTCAATACCGTAGCTATGTCAAGCTGCAGTCGAGAAAAAGCACTGTAACAACCATTAGAATGGTTTACTCTCAGGCTACGCTGAGATCCAGAGGGAGAGACAGCATTTCTAACTTCCTGGGGATTCACTTGAGACACACAAAACACACACACACACACACACACACACACACACACACACACACACACACACACACAAACACACACACACACACACACACACAA